CACCAAATACACCAAATAATGTTCTTTTTAGCAACATCATATGACCCCTTTAAATCAAGTATTCCGCGTACTCATTTCTTGTTATGAGCAAATATAAAAGCGAGGGGAGTCAGCCTGTCCAAACTGGCTGGTGGTGGGTGGGGATTTTGACCAATCCAGATGAATCGAATCTTTTGAGTCTGTTCACTAAGATGATTCGTTCACTGATTCAGTGACTCTTGCTGCAGGTTAAAGGTGCGGTCACATTAGCGAAATTATAGCAAATTTTCAGGTACAGAATTCACATTTAAATTGTTATAAATTGTAATCTCTAATTTCCTTTAACTGCCGTAAACGCGTTCAGGAGAGAGTGGAGATCCAGCGGATGATGTAGGACGTAGGCCTAGCGTAAGCTCAAGTGAGAAATGACGAACGGGAAGCGCAGAGGAGAGAACAAAACAAAAAATTGTAAAGAAAAATGTCGGAGGATTTCGATATAAACCAAGAGGAGACTGGTTTTCCTAGGATGGCCTGAGGGTTAGTAAATCATGGGGTAGGTGAACTATCCCTTTAAGGTTAGTCATGCTAATTCAAGTGACACCACTTGAACCAGTTGCTAAATCTGCATGGGGAAATCCTTCGCCTATATACAACATTCATGATCGCATGGATTCCAATTGAAATTACCAGATTTCGCCAACGAAAGTTCGCTGTACAGCGGAAAATGTGACTGCACCTTTAATGCCGTTACCCCAATAGGTTGAGACAAGTAAGCGCTTGTGTTATGTATAATATAAATCATTGCCACATCAATTATTGGCTTTATTATATTTTTTTATAATAGTTCTAATTCTATGAGAATTATAAACTATAAACTAAACAATAACTAACTACACAGAGAAATTATGTCATTGGAATCACTTTCAGAGCGATTTTTTTCCGAGCTGATAATTAAAACACGGACAGCCAATCAAAATTCACCCAACTTTGAGTATTTAAAGCTACAGGCGACATAACTACTGTGGACTCTAATATGGTTATCATTCTCTAGGGCAGTGGTTCTCAATTCCAGTCCTGGTGTACCACTGCTCTGCACATTTTGTTTGTCTCTCTTATCTGACGCCCTCGGTTAAGTTATTTTTATAATGGTTCTAATTCTATGAGAATTATAAACTAAACAATAACTAACTACACAGAGAAATTATGTCATTGGAATCACTTGTTCAGAGCGATTTTTTTCCGAGCTGATAATTAAAACACGGACAGCCAATCAAAATTCACCCAACTTTGAGTATTTAAAGCTACAGGCGACATAACTACTGTGGACTCTAATATGGTTATCATTCTCTAGGGCAGTGGTTCTCAATTCCAGTCCTGGTGTACCACTGCTCTGCACATTTTGTTTGTCTCTCTTATCTGACGCCCTCGGTTAAGTTCATGGATCTCCCTAACGAGCTGATTATCTGAATCAGGTGCGTTAAATAAGGAAGACATACAAAATGTGCAGAGCAGTAGTACCCCAGGACTGAAATTGAGAACCACTGCTCTAGGGCCTTTAGAGCAACACACCAGTTATGTCGAAAAGTTCTAATTAATTCAGTTTTCTCAAATCAGATGTCTCAGTTAATTCAATTCGTTGACGAACAAGATTCAGTTTACACACAAAGTCTAAAAACACTTATTGCTTCGGTAAAGGAGGCGTATTCGGTCAGTATGTCCAACCAATGAAATGCTCTGTCACATACGCCTCTAAAAAACTATTTGTTCATGATATAATCAGTCAGTCACACACTTGAAATCAGTGAACAGATAATATGAGTCAGTGCGCAGAAGAAGGATTCACTAAAATAAAAGATTCGTTTAACAACAGTGACTCATTCATAAATGAAACACTAGTTGTTTAAACCTGAAGGGAATTTTGTAAGTACAGGGAATTTGTACATGAAATGTTAACCTTAAAATGTTACCAAATTGTTCATATTCTTAATATTGAATCTAATTAGTGGCAGTATTTCACTCCTTGATTGTGCTTATGGCATTTGTGAGTGGTTTTCCAAGAACAAATTCTTACTCTTTCATATCTAAAATGCATTTGCACATCTATGCATCCACATTTAAATCAGCTCTATCTGCAGTGTACAGAAAGACTGTCTGTGCAAATAAAGCCAGTAGTGCGGCACTGCTGTTTGTGTTGTGCCCATCTGGTCGTGACACTCTTTCTTAACCTCCTGCGTCTTTTTCCTTTTCTCTCCAGTTAATGGCTCTCCTTGGACCTAGATAGAATGAAATCAATTTAACATATACAGCTGTTTAAAATCATGAAAACCTATAGAGGCCGTCCCGGCTCCAAAGATATTTCACACAACTGTTTTTGGTCTTTCCCAGAGCAACATCTGGCATGGAGGGTAATTAAAATGAACTGTGCCCAAATTCCTGCCTGATGAATCAGTGGGTGTGGCTATCTGAACGAACTTGGAAAAACCCTGTGAATATACAACAGAAGTAAACAAACACATAAGGGGTGGCCACGAGAAAAATGTTAGTTCACAAATCTGGGGAATTACAAATAATGGGAGAGTGGGAAAAACTTAAAGTGTCAGACCTTGACAGAGAGTGAGAGGCATTAAATTTATTTAACAGACAGCAGCAAACAGGGAAGGTGTCTGAGAAGCTGTGATTCTGTTCATCCGCATTGACCCATATGAGACCCACACTCAGTTCAATACATGAAATGAGAATCGCTGAGAGTGGATTTTCAGGGGTTGCTAAAGATAAAGTGACATTATTGCACTGCATTGAGTTGCAGATTTTTAGGGATGAATTCACAAAACTTGCACTACTTTTATATTTTCATCTATGCTGAAACACTACGGCACAGTGAGTATTTAAATTTGGCTCATTATAGGACCTTACTGATAAATTATGTTTGCATGAAAAATTTACAAACAGATACTGTATACCGTAGGTGAATGAGACTCAAAGTGTGAGAGAAAGAGTAAAGGAAATGCACATAAAGATTCACAAGAAGTTGATAACACATCTGCTGAGTGCAGCCTTGGACCTCTGCTTAAATTACCGGGCAGGAGGCAAGGACAACAGCATTGCAGATGGTGACTGCTGTATTGATTTTGGCATTTGAACGTGATGAACGGTCAGTGTGTTGAGTCGTAAAAATCTGATTAGATCCATCGACAGGAACTGGCGTATTGTATTGTGAAGTATTGTGTGCCTGTTTTAAGGAATCTTGTAGATTTATAAATGTTGAATATATATTCCATAATTAAATATACATTTCAATATAAATAAGTATTTTGGGTCAAAGTTTTTGACAGTTTTTTAAAATAATAAATATAATGTGTAAAGACATAAAAGACTCATATTCATGTGACTCTTCAGATAAATGTGTGTGTGCGTGTGTGTGTAAATATAATTTATTATTTTATAATAATTATAAATTTATGTAAATTATATTAATATAACTTATTTAATCATTTATATTATATATTGTTATATATAACATGTTATATCTACAGTATATTATATCTATCTGTTATATATATATATATATATATATATATATATATATTGTTTAAATATATATTATCATAAAATTATTTTATTTTATTTTATTTTATAGTTCATACATTTGCAAAATCTGCATGCGTTCTTTTAAATCTTAAATGCCCAAAACATATTTTCAAGGATCGGGATCTTTACATGATCCTTATTGGAAAGTTTTTTGCTTGAATTCTTGTACAGAAACACTATTCATAGGAAGTCACAATTTCTGTCAGGAAGCTCACCCATCCATTCAACCACCCACCCACCCACCCATCCATCCATCCATCCATCCATCTATCTATGTTGTGGGTAAAAAGAAGCCAGGCGAAGTTGATTGATGAGCATACTTGAAAAAAAATCATAAGCATTTATCAAGCGTGAAAGAGCGATTAATGAATCCATTATATGAGAAATGTGCAATGAGAAATGATTAACAAGCCATCCTGACTACCTCAAGTCACTGCACAAAGCCATTATCTTCCCCCAGCCGAGACCACATGGCCATGGCTGCTGAATGAGTAAAGATATTATTTTTTAGCAGTCAGCCATCGGCCCAGTAAACACAGCACATAATAGAAAATAGAGAGCAGGGTAGGAGGAACATAGCAGGTGATGTTAGCAGCGCTTATCAAATTAAACTGTCCTCATGAGCAATACAAGTGGCATATTTATGAAGCCATATTACTATCAAATCATTTTAATATAATTATGGAACATAATCAAATCAAAACCAGGTTGGAGACAGGCGTAGTCCAAAGGCTCCATGCATCTTTGATATTGTGTAAGACACCAAAGCCTGTTTAAATATATATTATCATAAAATTATTTTATTTTATTTTATTTTATAGTTCATACATTTGCAAAATCTGCATGCGTTCTTTTAAATCTTAAATGCCCAAAACATATTTTCAAGGATCGGGATCTTTACATGATCCTTATTGGAAAGTTTTTTGCTTGAATTCTTGTACAGAAACACTATTCATAGGAAGTCACAATTTCTGTCAGGAAGCATTATGCTTTGTCTTTATTGTTTTGCTTGTATTTAGTTATTAAAACATCTATCGGATGATCACTTGAAAATGAATGATGCAGAAAATGACTCAGATGTATCAATGTCCCGCTGTAGATCACTCACCACACGTGAGGTAGATAGAGGTGCCGAGCAGAGACAGGGCGGTGGTTTTGCGGCAGGCGGGCTGTGGTGCTGTCCAGTGTCGAGGGGGGAGGAGGAGGAACGGTGCACTGTGTCATTCCGACTGCCTTCCAGAAGATATGCCGAAGTCTGCTTGGTCAGTTGTGTTGGAGTAGTGGGCGATGAGGAGATACCAGAAGCTGTAGAAACAGAGAGAAGATAAGACACAACAGATATCATCTATCTATCTATCTGGAATGAAATTTGATGTTGCTACTATCACAGAAACGATCACTGCACCTTTAAGACTTTATGGCTGATACTGTGTACTGTGCTACAATGTCTCACTGTATCCCATTCTCTGCCCACGAAGGATGATTTAGATCCACCTGTCGTAATTTCTGATCTGCGCCTGCAGAAATAGAAGGGGCCATAAGGCCTGAACCGCAGGCAGTGTGGAGAGCAGAGTTTTATCACCTCATTTTACACTTCATCTGCTGTTGCAGGCTGCAGAATTCATGCTGTGATTCCTCCAGGCTCTGCCCTCCATACTGCAGTCAGATCAGAGAAAGTGGCCGGTATAAACAACACCCCTCTGGATGTTTTTATTCTGTTACTGAGGCTACACGATTCTTCCAATACATGGCAAAGACCCAAACATGACACCTGTGTCAAATTTTCATCGAATTTTCGATTCGATTACAATTTCGATTGGTTCATCACACCAATCGCCTGAGTAATTGGCCTGTCCGTTTTGGATTCATGCTGCACGTTAGTTGGCCATTAAATGATAAAATCAATCTCATTGTGGGCCCTATAATTGCATTTTTGTGATTGCTTCAGCTCCCTGTTGTTTGAACTTGACCCACTTCTCTGTGCCGTCCTCTCCCCCTGGCTGGATTCGGTTGCAGAGCCTTAAGGAAGCAGCTTGTTCTCACAGAGTGGTGTGTGGAGGAAACTTATTGAGTTTCTGCTTTGAGTCGATAAGAGGAGAGTGAAATGTAGCACTGCCTGCAGAGTCCAAGATACCATCAGCAAGCCAATAAGGTAAGAATATATTTCCAAGAGAACAGCCAAGATTACATCCTTCTATCTCTCTGTCTGTCTGTCTGTCTGTCTGTCTATCTATCTATCTATCTATCTATCCATTGTTCCATCTATCTATCCATCCACATCAGAATGGCAATAGCCCCTCACCTCACCCGAATGCATCCACAGGGAGTTTACATTCTCATCCTCCACACAAATTCACAAGGATCATCTACCGTCAGGACCGCAGAGTCACATGATCTTTGCAGACGTAATTCATTACGATTCCCAGCCCAGCTGAATAGAACACACCCACAGGCCATACTTGCAGCGCTTATCAAATTAAACTGTCCTCATGAGCAATACAAGTGGCATATTTATGAAGCCATATTACTATCAAATCATTTTAATATAATTATGGAACATAATCAAATCAAAACCAGGTTGGAGACAGGCGTAGTCCAAAGGCTCCATGCATCTTTGATATTGTGTAAGACACCAAAGCCTTGTTGTGTTCAATTCAAACACATTTAAGTAGGTAAATACCAAGGTGATTTTCCTCAAACATGATTGCTCATTCTAGACACGGTGTCTCCACTGTATCATTATGCTGATATGCACTTTTCATAAATTGTCAGGACTGTAAATCACATTGAAAGCCTCTGAAGCCGATTTAAAGATCTGAATCAAAAAATGTTTTTCTTTGTAATAATGTCCACTGATGAATAATTAGACCAAGAATGTGTATTAAGAAAGTAAACATTTTTCATTTTGATGTTGTTTTGACTCGGAAGTGAACTTCACTCTGTAAATATGGCACAATCCTGCACACACACTGCTGTCAGCTCTTCCTCTGCTGTCATCATGACATCTTTTGATGTTTACCCAGCAGACAGAGGTTAACAAACTTCATCCTCAGTGACCGATGACCCTTGGCCCAGTGTAAGATAAATTAACCCAACGCTGCATGCTTTTAACCCTGCTCACGGGCAAAACACTTACTATTCAATGAGCCATAACAGATAAACCAATATTCCAAACACAAACCTTCAATAGCACTTGACATGATTCATTTTTCAGTCCAAAAGTAAGCTTTAGAAAAGCAATAACACAACTAACTTCACAAAAGGCCTCAGCACAATCAAATCAGCCAGCATTGACCTCTTCATTTGCCTTTTCTGCCTGTCTGTCTCTCATTCACTTTGACTGAGTGATGAGCTACAACCAAAGTCTTTTACATATGTCTGCTGATTACATATGTGTCTGCTGATTAAACACACTGAACTGATGTTTGTTCTGTAAGAAGATATCATCAGACATGCATGAGAACAAGCACATTCTCTAAAAGTCCTCTGAAGAAAGGACAGCAAGCTCTCTTAAAGACATAATACAGACAGAGATGTGGGATCTTATCAAAATTCCAAGGACATTTTTGAATCTACTGTATGAAGACACAGTAAGCTGAGCAGCGCCCCCTAAAGCATTTTATGCAGAATTGCATATCATAAAAACCGGGACAGCTTTATGGTTATGAATACAATTTACTATATATGAATACAAAAGTAAGCTGTTTTCTAACTGTATTAGCACGCCATTAAGCTTTTTTTTTTTTTTTCCCCTAGACATCTGGCTTGTGAACAGCAAGATGGCTACATTCAGAATAGCATATTTGTGCAGTGTGCAGAATGCAGTTTTACTGGATGGCAATATTGCTTGGAAAATTGTACCCCATAATTCAAAGCATATTTTGATTTTCTCTTTCCATTTCTGCCAGAATCAATATCTCCTGTGATTTTTGGATCAGAATGCATTTTGCACACCTGCAAAACAAATAAATAAATTAAGTAAGTAAGATTGGATTAGAATGCATTTTACTCACACAATAAAAATAATAATTTTTATTTACAATTTATTAGTCTATTTTTTTTTTAAATATACCATTTTACTTAATGAATTGAGATTTTATTAATTAATGAATTAAATGAGAATGAATGCACATGTTTGAATTGGTTTATTAAAAATATTTTATTACAGTTTATTACAATATATTATTAAAATAGTATACATTGTATACTACACAGTGTCCTATAGCAGTATGCTATAGTATTTAATTCTGAACATAGGCTATGTGTCTTCTGAATTAAAGGGATAGTTCACCCAAAAATGAAAATTATCCTATGATTTACTCACCCTTAAGCCATCCTAGGTGTATATGACTTTCTTCTTTCAGACGAATACAATCGGAGTTAAATTTAAAAATGTCCTGGCTCTTTCAAGTTTTATAATGGCAGTGAATGATGGTCAAGATTTTGAAGCCCAAAAAAGTGCGTCGATAAAAGTAATCCACACGGCTCCGGGGAGTTAATAAAGGGCTTCTGAAGTGAAGAGATGAGTTTGTGTAAGAATAATATCCATATTTAAAACTTTATAAACTGTAATTTGTAGCTTCCTTTAACTGCTTTACGCGTGTGTAACAATGTTCGTAGATCGGGGAAGAAGGAGGCGGGAATTGGCAAACATTTAAACATAAAACTTTTTTTATGTTTAAATTATTTAAACATAATATAAATTAAATTTATATTAAACATATACACCTGATGGCTTGAGGGTGAGTAAATTATGGGGTAATTTTCTTTTTTGGGTGAACTATCCCTTTAAAGTACATGCTCATAGTTTAAATGCGGCCAATGAGAACACAAGCTGCGATAGCAGTTGCTTTGGATTGTGTCTCTGCCTGGTGACATGAATCCATGTGTCACAAAGTCCAGGCTGTTCTCCCAGCAGGCACCATCTCCATGTCATGGTGACGCCTGTCAAAATCCATTCAACCAATAGGATTGCATTTTCTCATGCAGTGTGTGACATTTGCAACACGTGAGAGGTAGCGCTTGCTGCTCTCATTTTCAGCACACAACCGCTTTTACAGAAGCAAGACTCGGATCTGATCAGAGTTTGGCTTTATTTTTTAGAGCGTAGTCTTTATATTTGGATTCTAGTTCAACAGAAGCTGCACTTTAAAGTGTTCAGAGGCGATTCACTGTTCCTTCATCACACTCGCTAGAACTCTGTTAGTCCAGAGACATAACCCTAACACAACCATTGCTAAAGCAAGTTAAACGAAAGATAAATAAAAGAAAGTAGACAATTTATAAATAAAATGTGATTGCCGGGGCATTGCTATGTAGTTGTTAAGATGTATTAATTTATTATAATTATAATTCTCTACTGAATAATGTAAGGTAGATTTGTGTGTGTGTGTATGTTTTATTAATTAAATAATTTTATATTTCTTAATTTAGTTTTAATTTATATTTTATTTTTAAACATGCTTATTTTATTATGGCCATCTGAGGGGAAAAATACTGAAACAGTACTGTGTAACAGGTCTCAGATCAGTGAGGGACATCCTCCAAATGCTATTTGCACATTGTCCTGACATTTTCAGCCGCTAACTGGTCATTTGTGTCTCTGTATCATCCATCAGCCTGTCAGCTTTTCAATATCACTCCAACTTCCAGACCTGTTCACAGAGGGCAAGCATGATCCACTCTTTTCCCCTTCTCCTCTCACTCTCGCTCTTTCGTTTCTGTCAATCGTTTTTCCATCCGCTGACTGTTAGATACAGAGTGGAACGTGATCTGTTGGTTAATGTAGGTAAGTGGCTGGTTGTAGCGGATACGCTCAGATACGGCAGCAACTGTATATACCATTCAAAAGTCGGCAAGATGTTGTAATGTTCTTGAAATCTTTTATGCTCACTAAGGCTGCATTTACTTTATAATAAAATATAACAAAAACAGTAATACTGTGAAATATTATTACAATTAAAAATAACTCTTTACTATTTTAATACGTTTTAAAATGTAATTTATTCCTGTGATGCAAAGCTGAATTTTCAGCATCATTACTCCAGTCTTCAGTGTCACATGATCCTTCAGAAATCAGTTTAATATGATGATTTGATGCTTGATTTCTTATTATTATCAAAGCATTTCTTATTATTATCAAAGTTGAAAACAGTTGTGCTGCTTAATATTTTTGTGGAAACTATGATGTAGGATTCTTTGACCAATAAAAGTTTAAAAGAACCAGTTATTTTTACATTATAAATGTCTTTACTGTCACTTTCAGTTTAATGCATCCTTGCTGGATATATTACTTTCTAAATATC